CACGAGTTTGGGGTAGAGGAACTGCAATGTCGACGGCTACTCTTTCCATTGGTTCACCAACTTGATATAACTTCATTGGAGCACGTGTTTTATGCTTCGGTCCCCTTTTAGCACAGCATGTACTGCATGTTCTCCACCATTCTTCCACATCTTGCCTCATGCCTATCCAGTAAAATCTGTGTCGTAGGTGACTCAATGTTTTCTTAACTCCGAGATGTCCTCCTGTTACAGTATCATGGGATTGACGCAGCACAACTTCCCGGAACTTTCCCGGAATAACCGTTTGCCAGGTCGTCACTTTCCCATCTCCGGAGAAGAATACCATCTTCAAGCCTCAACTGGTCCCATTGTGCCCAATAGTTCTTTGTCACAGGGCTTAGACTAGACACCTTCTCCCAAGCAGGGCGCAAAACACTTGCTTTTAGAAAATCAATTATTGGCTTCAAATCTTGGTCTTTCTCCTGTTCTCCTTTAATATTTATACCTGGTTCAACTTCACCATCATCAACTTCTTCAGTCACTTTAAATTCAGCTTGATGGCACCTGCTTAGCTCAACCTCTTTTGCAGCAATGTCTGCAGTCATTCTTGCAGGGTCTTCGGCTCAGTCCATCGGCATTTCCATGAGATTTTCCTTCTCTGTGTTTAATATCATAATTATACTGGTCTATCTTTCTGATCCAATGTGCCAGTTGTCCCTCTGGGTTCTTTAATGATCTTAACCAGCGTAATGCAGCATGGTCTGTCTTGATAATGGTCTGTCTTAACCTCCCTTGTTACACAGTAGTTCCTCTCTATTCTACTCAAAACCCTACTGAAATAGGCCACCACATGTTCGTTTTCGCCCATTTTCTGAGACAACACTCCTCCAATTCTGACATTACTAGCATCACAATCCAATATGTACAGCAGTGAGGAATCTGGAAGCTTTAAAAGTGGAGTGGAGGCCAATTTTTATTTCAATGTCTTGAAAGAATGCTGGCAAAAAACTGTCCATTCGAACTTCTGGCCTTTTTCGTCAAATCATGTAGTGGAGCAGCTATAGTTGCAAAGTCCTTCACAAACTTCCAGTAATGGGTACAGAGTCCCAAGAAACTTCTTAGCTCTCCCACATTGTCTGGTGTTGGCCAGTCTTGCACTGCTTTTACCTTATCAGGATCAGTTTGTACACCATTCTCACTTACAAGGTTACCTAAGTAAAGCACCTCTTTCTGGAACAAGTGACATTTCTTGGGATGGAGAATGAGGTTTGCTGCTTTCAAACTCTTGAATACTTCCTCTAGCTGGGACATTTCCTCATCAAACGTTGTTGCAAATACTATGACATCATCTAGGTACACTGGGGCTATCCTCCATTATAGGCCTTCCGGTACTCTTTCCATCAGCCTCTCAAATGTTGCTGGAACATTGCTAAGCCCAAATGGCATCACACGGTATTGCCACAGACCTTGGCCATAACTAAATGCAGTCTTAGGTTTATCTCGTTCAAACATTTTTACTTGATGGAAACCTGACTTTAAGTCCAGAGTTGAAAACCACCTGGCTCCACTTAGGGCATCAAGAGTATCATCAATTCTTGGCAGTGGGTATGAGTCTTTTTCGGTTATACTGTTAAGAGCGCTGAAGTCCACACAGCAACGTTGGGTCCCATCCTTCTTCTGGACTAACACGACGAGAGCTGACCTGGAAGTATCTATTTTCTCGACTATCCCTTCCTTAATTAGGCCATCTATGACCTTCTCCATATCTTGCTGCTTTGCCAGAGCTATTCTCCTTGGAGGGATCTTTATTGGACAGTGATTGCCTGTGTTTATTCTGTGCTCCACAAGGTCTATGCAGCCAAGGTCATGATCTCCTTTCAAAAAGACGTCTACATAATTTGCAAAAAGTTCCCTAACCCAAAGAGCCTGTGATGATGACAAATGGACTATGCTTTTCTTATAGAGGTCAATTAAATGTTCTGGAAGTGTATGTCCTTTCTTTATTGTTGTATTTCTTGCTTTAACATTGACTGGCTCTACCTCCTGGCAAACACCCAACAATGCCCCTTCCTTCAGTGTCTGCTCACATTTAGAGAAATTGGCCACTGTTATAGGTACTACTTGATGACCTGCCACAAGTGATCTTCCAATCTTCAAATCCGCTGGCCTGGATGGGTCTTCCACTGCTTCCACAAGCATTGGGCTTCCTTGGGGATGTTCTTTTATCCTACCCCAAATTATCTTTTCTGACATAGGGGGTATTGTAGTTGGCTTAAGTGCTGTGGCATCCAAATCAACAGATGTAGCAACACTTACTGGAATTTGGCCTTTGTTGTTACCAATCATCAGTAGTAAATAGTCCAATCCTAATATGCATTGGTCTTCAATGTCAGCCAAGTATACTTTCTGTCTGTTCTTCATGCGCATGAGCTCAATAGTTACCCACACTGGTCCCCACAACCTTGCATAATGTCCTGTCACACCACAGAGCTTATGTATGGCTTCTGGTACTCCTTTGTGATCTAGCATCTTGATACTCACAAGGGTTTACTGAGATGCAGAATCTATGACAAAGTTGCACTTTTGGCCATCCAGCTTTCCTGTCACATAGACACTGTATGTGCTTGCCATTTTACACCTAGCTGTTGGGATTTTCATGATGGGGGTTGTGGGCATCCCTCAACATCAACCACTACTGGTTTCCCCGAGGCTGTAGTATTCTTCTTACCCTGGTTCCTCATATGTCCTTGCTCTCCATAGTTCCAACAATTTTTCTGGGTAGCAGCCTTTCCTGCCGTGGCATCTTCCCTGTGTTGAAGTTGCCAGCATTGAGCTCTCTTGTGCCCAGGCTTATTACA